CCCTACACCACTGCACAGTGTGCTAATAGTAGATACTCTGTGCCTTCTTTAAACTCTTCTTGTGGCCCAGAGCCCTTCCTGTATCACTTGCCCACTGAAAGTCTACCTTCCCATCAAGTTTCAGTGAGTCCAGGCTTGTCTTGCAGGGCTTCCTGACTTCTCTCTCAAGCTCCCTCTCTGTTATCCAACAGTACTCCATTGTCCATACAACCTACTTGGCAGCTTATACCAGCGATCTTGACTGTGTTCTAAGAATAAATCTTATCTTAAATAGATCTTAAGCCCCATGGAAGATGGAATCTAGGCTTGTTTAGACATTTTTTAATATTTCTATGCATGCATTCATTGGCAAATGGTCACCTGATAAATACCTGAATACTGATGACAGCATGCAGTGGGAAACAATGGCTGCAGGGATCAAGGACCAAGCAAGTCCATTCACTCACAAGAAAAGTTCAAGAGCAAAGCGAAGGGAGGAAAGTCTATGAAAGAACCCAGCAGTCATAGAGTAAAGCAATATATTTAGAGCTGCTTTAAAAGAATTGAACACACAAATATAGCATGTTTTCTCTCATATGTAAGTCTAGCTTTATATACAATACCTATATTTATGATCCGTGGGCAGAGGAAGGAGATTTAAAGGGAGGTGGAAAGGGGAACAAGAGAAGATAATGGGAGAAAAGGGGAAAATATCTTTTGCTCTCTTAAGTAGAATCTACAATTAAACATCTGTCATGAAAGCAGAAGGGGGTACTATGTAGGGTAGGAGGCCAACTGGAAAGAGCGGGAAGAGGGCAATGGGGAGGTATAAGCAAAGTATAGTGATTATACATATGTGAAAATGTCACAATGAGACCCACAACGTCATTTGCTAACTAAAAAGTAATGTCTATTGAAAAAACAAGCAGGTGTGGTGGTTCATGACTATAATCTCAGCTACTCAGGAGGCTGAAGTAGGAAGAATCCAAGTTCAAGGCCTGCATGGGTTATACAGTGAGTTTAAAGCTATCCTGAGCAACTTAGATCTTTGTCTCAAAATTAAAAATTTTTTTTTTCTTTTTTAAGGCTGGGGATATAGATTAGTGGTAGAACACATTCTAGCATACACAAAGCCCTGAATTCAACCCTCAGGACCATATTTAAAAAAATATATTAGTAACTGACTGCATAATATATTAACATATAATAAAACT